TTTATTTGAAATTCGGATGCATTGGGTTTTTAAAAAAGTTGAGTTTTGAGCTCATATTGCTATTTTAAAAATAGGATGACAACAAGATGGCACTCTATTAACTTCATGATGATATTTTTTACAAGCAAATGAGAAGTGACCATAAATATTTTACATGCATGTTTCATATCTTTCATCTCAAACTAAGACGAAGCCATAATTTGGTCGTATCAATCATTTTCAACTAATAAAATGTCATCTATGTATAACAAGATTATAATAATTTACTCACACTCTTCAAGACATATCTAATGGTAGAGTCTATTTACTGTATACCCATTTGAAGGATATCATTATAACATATTAATTAGCAGTATCTTGAATATTGTTTTAAACGATATAATGACTTTATTTAATTTACATATTTTATTTTTTTGTCCTTAATTATGAAGCCCTCAAGTTGCTTCATATAAATGGTTTCTTTTAGTTCACCATTTAAAAATATCGCCATTACAAACATTTAGTAGAGTTCTAGGTCATAGTGAGAAATATTTACAAAAATTGTTCTAGTGGATATGAATGTCGCGATAGGGGAATAACTGTCAATTTAATCGACTCCCTCTTTTTAGAGCCTTTGCTGCTAATCTAGTTTTGAATTTATCAATGGAACCATTAGATTTTAGATTCTTTTTTAGTACCCATTTACATCCTATAGGTTTCATACATATCCCAAACTTGATTTTTATCAATAGAATCAAATTCTTCTCTCATGGCATTGACCCATTCTTGAGATTCTTGGGACTTCATCACGTCACTAAAGTCAAAGAGATTATCAATGTCGTCTAGGCCAATATATTTATATACTTCTCACCCATATAGACATTAGGAGTCATTAAGATATGATAGAGGAGCTCCAGACCTCTTTTGACTACTTAGCATAGGATGAGTTGGTACTTCAACATTATCATGTGGATTATGATCATCAATATACATTGTAAGTGATGGTTCTGAATCACCTATAATCTTAAGTGAATGATGGTTAACTTCTATTGATGGGTTTTCTACATAAGATTCTTTAGGAACTCAACGTCTTTGTTTTTAGTAAGACCCTTATTCTTATGATAAAACCTATAGCCCTTTGACCTTCGGGGGTACCTTATAAAATTCAAACTAGAGTTTTATTTTCTCATTTACCTCTTTGTTGATGTAGAATTAGACCATGTCTTATTTATTCCTATTTTTCTAAGTTGCCTAGATCAAGTCTTCTGCCTAGAGAATCCATTGCCTTAGTTGGAAACGGATTAAGTATGTATATAGTTGTGCTCAATATTTCTCCCTAACATGTCTTAGGTAGACTAGCATGAGCAATCATAGATATAGCTATCTCTAAGAGGGTTCTCTTATGCTTTTCAACTATACCATTTTTTTGTGGTGTATAAGGCACAATGATATGTTTCCTAATACCCTTTTCTTTACAAAATATGTCGAAGGCTTCTAAGGTGTATTCACCTCCCTATCAGTTCTAAGCACTTTGATGTTCATACCCAGTTGGTTTTCTACTTTCCTTTTATATACCTTAAAATATTTATAAAGCTTTTGACTCATGATGAATTAAGTAGACATCCAAACCTAGAAAAGTCCTCAATGAAAGTAATAAAATATGATATTCCTCTATGACTTTTAACATTAAAATTCTTACAAATGTTTGAATGGACCGAATTCAGTAAGTCACTTGTTGTTCACGGAAGCTCTAAACCCGATGGGTTGATTTTTTACAAATAAAATACGAGAAATAATGCATGAAATACACACCACAAGAACACAAAGATTTACGTGGTTCACCCTAAAAGGGCTACATCCATGGGCATGAAAAACTGAAATCTATTATATTAATGAAAGTTACATCAAAGATTTTGGAACAAATCTCGACTAAAACCTAATCGAGCAAACTCTTTTAAACCACTCTCCCTTCCTTTCTTTACTTTTGACAACTATTACCGACAACACCAGATAGAGATACAAGAGCGACAAAAATTAACTTTCTCTCTAACTAAAAGAGTAAACCACGCAAAATCTCAATGGGAACCGCTTCTCTACAAAAGACAAGCATGTCAATATTTAGAGTCTACAAGAGGCACTATCACAATATTTCTCTTCATAGGAAGTTCTCTTCTCTCTAAGAGAGAACCTTGCATCTTATGCACAGGAGACCATGCGCCCCTCTCTCTCTAGAGGAAACCACAATTCACATATGGTGACCCAAATAGGGCACACAAATGTTTTGCACTTTCATCTTTTATATATATATATATATATATATATATATATAAGTAGATCACACTAATAGAACTACTATATATATATATATATATATCCAAGAGTCCTCATACTTTTGGATTTCTATTTGGGGTAAGCTTTCTATGTTCTCCCTACAACATAGAAGTTCTATCCTCCCCTTACCATCCAGTTGTCCATTTTTTATCAAGAGAATCACTCACCGTTTGATCTTAGATTTGACTTCTCAAAGTATTTTATTTTTAGTTTTTTTAATACAATTTTTCTGAATATAAAATTTGGTACGTGTCATTTTCTCATTGGGGCGCACCTATAAAAAATATTAACAATAATTTTTCAATAAAAAATAATGATCAAAATATCCCTTGAAACTTTCAGGGGTATTTTGATCATTTTATTTTATTGAAAATATGTTTTTTATATTTTTCATTAGTGTGAGTTTAATAGAGGAATGGACGTCCAAAATTTGGTGTCAAAATAGTTTATAGAAAAAAATTAAAAATAAAATAGTATAGAGACGTGGCATTGTGATTGGCAATCTTAGCACTCCATTCAAAAATGGACGGTTGGATAAGGGGGAGGATAGAACTTCTATGTTGTAGGAGGAACATAGAAAGCTTTCCTTTCTATTTCCTTTAGGAAACTAATCAATATCAAATATAATCTCACGTAATATGGAATTTCCTAATGTGGGTGATTCTGGATAGCACCAAATCCAACATCACTAACTCTCTCCCCCTTATTGAATGGTAACCCTAGTTATTCTACCAATTAAATATTGCTGACAAGTTGGAAATTCTACAAAAAAAAATTACTTACATTTGGAATGAGATATTCCTTCATTAACCTATTTAATTGGTTGTTTTCTATATCCCCTAGCCTAAGATGCCAAGTATATGCATCAAGAACTATTACACTAACGAGATAATTAGAATAAGTGGAAACTTTATTATCAACCTTCTCATTTACATGAAGAAGGAACACAGTGTGCTCGTCAAATAAGTGTCCCCAAGCATAAATTTGACCACATTTGTTGATTGATACTTTCAATGATCAAAAGTAGACTTCAAATCCCTTTCAAATAAGGAAAATGATATATACAACATTTTGCCTCATACTGGGTACTTGATCGACATTCCCCATATACGACCTACATGTTCTAATACCTAATATATCGGAATTGGTATTGTTTTCCATGTAGGTGTGCTTCTCCCTAGCTTTTATTTGGAGCTCGCGAAATGACGACTAGCACCCGAATCTACCCACCATATTTTAACATCATCGTCCACAAACAAGCATTCTGGGACTATGCAAATGACTACACATTTTGCTCCCATTTCCACTATATCTCGGATTTTGAGGGTTTCATTTATGTGGGCAATCATTTTTTAAGTAACCTAGCTGACCACATGTGGAGCATTTTAGCAATCCTTGTTTAGTCGCTTAGTTGAGGGGCTTGATTCCTTTATCTTTAAACTTATTGTTCCTTTTATTAAAGTTTCTCTAAAAATTTTAGTTGTTAGACTTGGATTGGCTAGGTGTGGGAGGATCTAGAGCAAACATGAGTTCACTTCATCTTTATTCATATGTTCTTGTTTTAATGCAAATTACATAGGAAGGTCAAGTAAACTAAAAGGTTTTGCATTTAACCTGAGGACTATGGTTACCAGCCTCCATGAAAGTGGAAGACTATTTAAAATTGTAAAAACTTGCATGCGCTTGAGAACTTCATTCCTTACAATGGTTACGTCCTTAGCCATAATGAGCATTTTATTAGCATAGCATATTACATTATCTCTCTCCTTCATGTTAAATGAACTACATTGTTCTAGGAGCAATCGGAAGTGAGTTTTTGATGTTGTCATATTTTTCCTTTATTCCGTTAGCATTTTCTTAGATGTATCAAAATGTTCAAATAACCTAATAATATCATCTTGCATATTATTTAGCGCCAATGTCTAAGCTATGGGTCATCTTCTAAGAATTTTTCCAATTTTTTTCTTCTTTAGTGGCTTTACCAATAATGACGTGTGAGTCATCTTTTGGCACATATAAAATTCTATCTTCCAATTTTTTTCTTCTTTAGTGGCTTTACCAATAATGACGTGTGAGTCATCTTTTGGCACATATAAAATTCTATCTTGGACGAGGAGATATTATATCTTCCTCTTCCACATGTTTGAAGTTAGACGCATTTAAATTTTCCATGTTTGAAAGTTGTGCCATTACAATTCTACTAGGCATGAGACGGACTTGCTTTTTCTTTTTTTTTGGGTAGATTAGTGGGGAATATATGCCCTCATCTGTTTTAAAAATAGTTAATGTTTTTAAAAGAATGAAAACGTAGACTAAAAGCTTAAGCTCAAGTGACACTACCACCATGGCTTCAACCCCATTCCCAGGACTTCCTAACTGGGCAACTAAACAGTTTCTAGCTTCTAAACAAAATAAAATTGCAAAAGAGAAACCACCAAAAAATACTCGATGTATGGTTAATCCCTAGTAGAAAGATAAAGAGCCAAAAATTTGGTAAATACTATTGTTAATTGATGCATGATATAAACAAGCAAACAAATAAATAAAACTAACTTTCAATTAAAAACATAAAATTTCTGAGTGATCCATGTCTAGGATTCGTTTCTTTTACACTTAGATGATTTGCTATCAACTATCTAAGCATGAAACCTAGGACAATACAATAATAAATTAGGGCATGTTGGAGAAAGGAACAAAAATACACCGTCGCATCCACATATACCTTTCGCAAGAAAACAGTATGTTGCATTTCACAAGAAAGAACAAGCTTTCCCTTTGTAGAAACCAATTCTTCTTCTCCCTTTGTTCTTTCATACATTCAAAATCATGGTCAGGGAAGCATATTCTAACAAAGAATGTACCATCAGTTTATTGCACAAAGTTTGAACAATAAGAATACTTCAACAAATTGTCATTTTGCAGTCCCCTTTTTTTATTATAAACAAAAAAGCTCAACAAATTTAGATCTACAAAAAATTTCGAGCTTCAGACTCATTCGGGTCACATCCAATTTCACTTCTTTGGTGAGATCAAAATCATCTGCTTGACACCAGAGTCTTATTCAAGATGGATGCATGCAAGCTCCATATCTTACATCCACTAATCAAGTTCAAAGTCGTCAAGCCATATCAGCACTTCGTTTCTCTTTATAACCACAGGAAGATATATTAGTTCAAGAACAAGTATACCATACACCACTGGGTACTGGTGTATGCTCTATTCGACACCACTGGGCCATCAACAGTCCGTTCCTCATCACAGATGGCTGAGATTGACTATATACCTAGGTGAGTGTTCGTTAAGGAACCATGGGTATTGTCCACCATCCATCATTTGAAACAGATGGTTGATATCCAAGTGGTGTAAAACATAACATAAGGTCATGGTGTTGCATATGCTTTTCCTTTGTCCAAAAAGGTACGAATCAATGATGTGGATGTATTTGGGACTTTTGAGACCTTGTTATCACGGCTCAAAAATCTGTTATAACAGCCACTATAAAAGAGAAAGCAATTGAATAAAATATAATATGTTCAAAAATAAAATTGTAAGAATGGTCATAACAGTGTCATAATGGATGACAGGTGTCGTATTTTTATTAATTAAAAATATTGAAATTTTTCAGAATATATAAGCATTCTAAGGATATAAGCAACATTTTGTAAAACTTAGGGCATAACAGGTGTTCTAGATATAACACCCATTCTTTTCAATTTTTGAAACATGTTATAATGGTCGTTACATCATCATGCAACAGCCATTATATTTTAAAAAAACCTTAGCAACATAACGGGCATTTTATGCAGTCTACCGTCACATTTACAAAATGTAGCTGGCCCTTAATGGGCAGGACCATTACAGTTACAACAGCCACCATAACTGTTATTCTCTAGGATTTTTTAACCTTGCTCATAACTTACCATGAGAAAGCTCCAAGTACGACCAGGATCATTGTAACGAGCAAGTAGACATCCCGGTTGAGCCTTCAAACCATCTCTCAGGAGTGCAGATCGCAAGGCCTTTTGTTTCTCCAAAACAATATCCTCTGTGGGTTTCCCACTAAATTTAGTTACTGCAGCAATATTTTCTGCCACTTTCCTCAAGGTGACTGTTTCTTTGATGGGGCTTGGCAGGCTGATCAAATTGAGAGCTCTTAATATTTCTCTATAACTATGTATATTCTTTTTATGTATTAATACATAGGTGGGATGGGTAACACAACTAACTTCATCCATAAAAGAAAAGGAAAGTAAAATTCATAATATTTATGTAACTACAGCCAGGACATGCATTTAGTAATTCCAACCAGTGTTTTAAAACACAGACTTGGGCCGAGACTTGCTTGGGTGTTCTCTTCCCTTATAAAAATCAACTGATATCTAATTCAAATTTATCTCAGGTCCATTCACTAAATCACGAGTTGAAACATAAAAGAGTTCCCCATCTAGCACAAGAACTGGATAAAGCAAAATAGTAGTGGATCCCACGTGTTGGCTTTCTTAATAGGTTTGCTTTGATCTTGTAAATTGTAAGCTTGGACTTCTATTGAAATCTAAATCATACTAGGGTCACTTAATATAACTAGTGGTGGCATATGTTACCCGTCGAAGATGACCCTTCAGAAGACATATTGGTTATATTCCCAAAACACGTTTCAAACAACAGAAATTATACCATAGCTCATTGGGTAACAGTATGGGGTACTCCATGATACATCCAGTGTCCATTCCCAGTGTTGATGGGCCCCACTAATGCTAATCTCAAGTGATACATCAGTGGAACTAGTGGTGGATGGAGTCTTAAGAGTACCATACGCCACAGTCCCTTGGACAATGGTATACTTTCCCTTCAATCATATTGGCATGAGATTTTTCACTACCGTTCAATGAAAAATAGAAAATGTTAACACAAGAAGTTAAGGTCAATAAGCCGTGAAAGGATGTCGCATCAATTCTCATATACTTAGCATACTGGCGCTTCTGGACAACTACATGAGACCAGTGGGAATAGGCAATGAATGCTCTACTATTGTCATCAAAAATCAGTTAATCCATGCAGTGAGGTCATAGACAATTGACGGCAAAAATTCATTACAGACCCCATCCAAATATAGAGAAACAGAAACATATAAAAAGAACAGCAAAACCGATCAGCAAGAAATACTTACCTGTCTAGCTCTTTATTCATAGGAAGCACTATCTGGATCAGTACTGGGGTTGATTTTCCATCAGATGCTTGGGTAAAGACTGGGGTAGTCATTGGAATTTTGTCCTTCAAAGAATTCTGGCCAAAGATATATCTAAGGTGAAAAAAAAGTGCTCATTAAATCCTTTCACGATAGAGTATGTATACAAGACATGGAAAATATTGAATTTCCACAAAGCTAAATTGTGTATGGAAAAGTGACATACCCTGCGACATCATTGAAACCAGTTGAACCAGAGAGTGTGTCTCCTTTTGTCTCCACAACAACAAATGAATCATACTTCCGTACCTATCAATGAAAAGGGACAAGGGCAACTTTATAACCATCATCCATTTTCCTTCCAAAGCCAAAACATAGGAACGAAAAGTATTAACACCCGTCATGACATGAAGAGAGTCATGTTGAGGAGTTGTATCCCTGAATGACAGGATTTTCCAGTGGAAGACCCCATAAATTAAGCTGGATCCTTGAATGTTTGCCTCGAGCACTCAATGCCTTATCATGACTAAAGCCAGTTCGAAGGCGAAAAACCTAAAACAAGTCACCTAATGAAGGAAGTTGTACATCAGTGCTCAATGGACGGGTATGACCTATCTATATCTTGAGAAAGCGTGCTAAAGCCTCTATAAAAAAACAAAGCTACATTCGCATGCGCATACCTGGATGGAAACTTCTGAGATAGAAAAACTCTGTATCTTGGTATTAGTTTGTCTCTCACTCCTATCTTACCTCTTCTCTCCTTCTTGGATTTTTGCAGGTGGTTTTGCAATGCTCTTCTCTGTGATGCTCAGCTATAATGCCACAGTACAAGCACCCAGCCTGGGGTTGCCCCTCCTCCCCCCACCTCTTATATGTCACTTTTTTATTACCTGTCTAAGAACCAGGCCTGTGGGTTGCTCTTCCTGCCCCCTCTATCTCTGAGCACCCGGCATGTGGGCTTCCACTTCTCTTGGTTTCACGTTTTGCCCTCCAACATGGGCTTCTTCTACCTCTCTCTCTCTCTCTCTCTCTCTCTCTCTCTCTCTCTGACACACACATCCATCCCTTCATCTCGTTTTTTGTACAACAATGATTTTTTGACAGCACACTTTTTTGGACAGCTTTTTCTAGACATTAAGCCTTGTTTCTCAAAGGCTTCACAGCAAATCCCCACTCCCCTCTTGCATATCTCTCACACTCTACTCTCTCTATGTCCACCAGTGCTCTCTCTCCTTTCTCTCCCCTCCCTCTACTGCATCTCCCTCACCTCCTTCACTTTTTCCCCTTTTCTCTTCTCCTTCTATCATTGTTTTGAAAAGCAGACCACCCAGCGCTTGGGTGGCCGCCCAGGCGGTCCAGAAGGTTTGGGCGCATCGCCTAGGCCTAAGCGGCCCAACTAGGCGGATATCCCTGGGCGCCTGCCTAGGTGCCCGGGAACTCGCCTAGGCAGCCACCCAGGCGCAGAAATGCGGCTCCTTTAGGGTATTTTTTGGTCATTTTTTTAATACTAAAGGGAAAAATTGTGAGTTTTAAGTTCATTTGAAAGTTGAAACCTAAACCCATTAGAGGCTATTTTAGAGAGAGAAAACCCCAAAACAAAAATTTTTTCTACTGGGCCGCCCAGGTTCTAAGCGACCGCCTAGGCACTGGGCGTCCTGGACCCCCCCGACCGCCTAGGTGCCGCCTAGCGCTTTTTGAAACACTGTCATCTATTATTTTTTCTAAAGGCGCATGCAATATGTGGGTGGTCCATCTCACTTCTCGTGAAAATTTTTTGTAATTATACTATTTGGGTACTATACTGTCAAAGAAGGGAGAGAGAGATGAGAAGAAAGAGGGAGAGGAAGGGAGACTGGCGTGAGAGTCCCAACAGGGTCTCATACAGCTCTCACATCACTTTTATATTAATAAAAATTTGTGAAAGGGAAAAACTGCCCACACAAACTGAAATAGGATATATAAGTCAGGTCCTATTAATAATAAAAGAGAAATAAGAATTTGAAAAAGGAATTTTAATATTCCCCCTCAAGGTGGAGCATAGATGTCACCCATGTGCAGCTTGGAAAAAATTATTATTTCACATACGGAGTAGATACCTGCTTACTAACGACTCTCTCTCAAATAAAATGATAGTCTACTTATGTTTAGTTCTCTCATTAAATAATGGATTACTGGGCTATACAAGTTACAACTTTATTATCACAATACATCTTCATAGGCTCTGCAATAGTAAACCCCATCTTCTGCATTAGTGTCTGCAGCCACATCAATTCACTTGTTGTATGTGTCATTACTCTATATTCAGCTTCCGCACTTGATCTAGCCACAATATTTTGTTTCTTACTTCTCTATGTAACCAGATTTCCACCAATAAATATAGAATTAACCTGTGGTAGACCGAGTGTCAAATGGAGAACCTGCCCAATCAGCATCCAAGTAACCCTCAATTGTCAAATAATTATTTGATTGGTGAATCAAATCTCTCCCTGAAGCTGCCGTCAGGTACCTCAAAATTCTTCGAACAACATCTCAGTGAAGAATCCTAGGAGAGTACATAAACCTACTCACTACACTTGCTGCAAAAGCAATATCATGCCTAGTAATGGACAAATAAATCAGCATGCCTATCAGTCTTTCATACCTTCCTGGATCTTCAAACAATTCCATCTTATCAACCAATAATTTTGTACTTGAATCCATAGGAGTATCAATTAGTTTAGCCTATAGTTACCCGAATCGCCTATGAGGGTAGCGATTCCGTTTCAGAATCTCGATTTGGCGTTTCCTCTAATCTAGGCTTAAGTAATAAGCCTAGAATTTTTTTTATTTTTCTAATAATAAAAATATGCCCAGTATTTTGAGAACTTTGTTGGCAAAATCAGGTGCTAAGGTGTTTCCTGCTTGGTAGCTGTTTTTTATCACAACATTCAAAGTGTCATCAACTTTTCCCTTTCAAAGCTCTGGTGTATATAAGCCGCTCATGGTAAAACTTTGGAGAAAATATATGGTTTCACCTAATTCAGTTTATATTTCCTAAAGGGGTGCAATTGCATATTAGAGATGCGGAAAGCTAAGAGTATCTTGTCCTGATTTTCAGTGGGCCGATTATGAGTAGTTTGCAACTTTTTCATTTTTCTTTGGATGTGAGAGGAACCCAACCATGTTAACCTTAAGGTTTTTGGAGTTTCTTAAGTTGATGCCCCCTTTCATGGGAAACTTGACCAGTGTATTCATTACATGTTTTGGGAATCTAGAAAGCCATTCACTGGATGTCATCTACCGTCATTCGGAGGACGGCTTTCGTCCTTAGCCTCAGTTTCTAAAGGGAGATTTTCTTCAGCTTTCTCCCATAGTTTTCCAATTTTGGCTTCTCTTATACTTCAAGCATGACGAAAGTACTGGAACCAATGTCGTACATCATTTTTACTAACAATGGGGTACCACGAGGTTGATGCTTCCAAGAGCCTGTGATGACTCTAGGATTTGCCTTATAGGTTTCTAAGGGCTCCAATGAGATTGAGATTCGGGCTAGCCATAATAACATATCCAAGGGCTTGAAGTGAACAAATACTATTTCCATCAAATTACATGTAGGTCATATAGTTTACACTCCTTTGACAAGGAGAACTAACAAAGCCAATGTGACTTTCGCATAGAAAAAAGTTTCTATCAAACACCAGTAGACAGTGTTAGGCAACAAAGCCACACTCAGGTAACCAATAAGATGAAAACAGAAGAAGAAAAGGATTTGCCACAGACCAATGACATACAAATAGAATTAGCCTCACCAATCAAGGACAGAGAGATGTTATAACAACGGTAACAAAAGGTACAAAACCAAACCAATCAAAGGACTTGTAGCTTACCTCATAATCTGATGTTCGTTTCAGTATTTCATACTTTGGCGTTTCCAAATCAGGGGTCTTGTAAATGCGCAACTTTTCATGGACAAGAATAATGTATAAGAATTATTGGCTGATGTATTTAACCCTGGAGGTAAGCTTCTAGCAGACAAAAGCAATGGCATTGTTGACATATCGAACAAACACTCTTACCTGCTTCACAACAGCCAGCAAACCTTCAAAAGAGAAGTAATCATTTTGCCTGATGGAATCCCAAAAATCCTACAAAGAAAGAGTAGAAAAGGTAAAGGACAATTGGATAAGTTATACGACTAGTCTTGAGAACTTATCTTTGAAGTGAGGAACACTCACAAAAGAATGCACGAGTGTCACTTATAAAAGAATGCATTCCAAAGAAACTTTCAATATGCATGCCATGTTCTCATTGGACTTCTGTATACTTGTAAATCACTGAGCAATTAGTAATGAAATGCCTTCAACAAAAGTTTTACAAAATGAACAAGCAAAATGCTGATGTCATGCATCCATAACAAAAGGCCGTCTAGAGGGTTGAAGGAGTAAGGACTTACAAGTAACCGTCTAAATGGGTTTCATCGTTTTCTATTGGTTCAAAAATAGGATCTTCTTCTTTCCTTTAAAAGTGAAGAGAGCCCCCTTGACTGAGGCTCAAACTCGATGTATTTTATTTTTAGTGTCACTAGCAGTTCTAGAAAGTATTCCCTTTAAGTAACCACTGCAATAACCCCAAACAGAATTCTTCTTTCCTTTAAAAGTGAAGAGAGCCCCCTTGACTGAGGCTCAAACTTGATGTATTTTAGTGTCACTAGCAGTTCTAGAAAGTATTCCCTTTAGGTAACCACTGCAGTAACCCCAAACTGAATTGATAACTTGAAGCGTGTGATACTATAGGTTAAGTTTTGGAAGTATCGAATAATAGATTTTATCCAAATATCTGGACCATTGTCATCTTTGGCTTCTACTTGGAACCATACCGGGTTCTCATTTAAACATACAAGCATGTTCTTCCTCCTCCACCAAGACTAACAACACATTGAAGTATCTTATGGTATTTAGAAGTTCAAAAAATTTATATCCGCAAATCTTTTTTGATTATTCACCACTGGACTGCTGCCCAAATGGTAAACCATGGATCAAACAAATATTTTGTGAAAGAAATTTGTAGCACTTAAAGATCGTTTCAACTACACATAAAAAATCTTAAGGTTCAAATACAGAACAAGAGACCCTCATACAAAAACTGCTTTTTTTTAATACCAAGAATCCTTCCATTATTTATAGAAATTATCTACTTGTCAAACTCCCGCTCAATTATAATTTGGCCCCTGGATGTTAAGTTCCATGAGAAGTTATGAGTATACTTCTCACCTTTTCATGCAAGGAAAACACTCTTCGAGGGATGTCATTGGGGTGCACTCACAATAAAACCTAGATCTTCTTTACAACAGGCCAACATTCCACGAGGCTTATCACCCATTGATACCTAAACTAACATGATATTGGCAATCACAGCTCATTCCATTATTTTTAAAATTAGTTAATGAACACTAATGGGCTTTTCTTTTATGTGTTACCTGAAAAACACAGATGAAAGAGATACTCACTTAGAAGGCATATAACATGCTCTACAAAAGAATAAGAAACTACTAAAATAGCCCATACAACAGAACTTATTTACAGAAACTTCAACAATTTCCCTCATATAGGAACATAGCTGTCATGCATATGTAGGGTGCCTAGTATGGTATCATGTTTATTTGTTCATCCAAAAGGTTTTACTGAACACACTGGCTAGCTGGTCTATCTGACATCACATATGTATTTCTCTGGAAACATTTTTTGTATAACAAGATGATCGCCAACTTCCATAGACTTGATTTTGTTATTGAAAATTGGATGAGCTATATGCTATCAGCCTAACTGTGCCTAAGTCCATAGGAAATATTCTAAATCCGACCACTTCAAATAGAAATGTCTCGACCAAATGAGCTCAAAATTGGTATGAGACATTCACTTGTACGCCAATTCTCCGGAGGATCTTTCCACCATCACCTCTTTATGCCACCAGGTGAACCAGCAAGTCACAGTACAAAGATGAACATAATGACAGAAGAGTATCACCTTCCAGGAGAAACTACAGGTACACAAGATTCTGTAACTTATGAGAAGTGCACCAGCTAACATAGAATCCCCATGGCAGATGCCACTTCTGGTCTAGAAATAGTCAATATTATCATCTTCCTTCTGATGTGTCGCTCTTTATTTATACCCAACTAAGAATAATAATATTTGCCTAGAATTTTAACAAGATTCATTTACTCAGCAATAGCTAATCGTACACAGTGATGATAAAATATCTTTGTTTAGAAAGTGTACAAAATTATAACATTTATAATAACCCTCCAGCCCTTGTTCCATCTGAAGATCTAAGTTGGGTAAGCCTGCTTGAGCTAATCATGTGACTTCTGTATCTAAGGGTGACAATAACCATCAGGTTGGCTCTAATGATCAACCCCAGGTTCTCAATTCTACTGGTGATTCAGGCCCTTGAGAGTCCAAACCTCGGCCACCATTCCTCATCGAATCAGAGAGGTCGATCCACGGCTTGAAGGTATAGCCCTGCAACATGAACCAAGAATGTCACCTTGAGGAGTTGTTGGCAGCGAAGACTCCAAAGAACTTATAGTCTATGTAAGAGGTAACTATCACCGCCACTTTCTTGGGTTCCCTCATTGTTGGGTTCCCCCACTCTCCAAAAGTCATCACCTTCTTTATAGTGAAGATTGACCTTGTATTTTCTTGTGCCTCATAGTGATGCCTGCCATCGGCAGAGCCTGTGCTCATCAAAATTGTTTCCACCATGTCTGAGCTGAGTGTACTCCATTTTGCAGTATAGCAGTCCATGCCTAGTAGAGACTCAGTTGTCTCCCACGCATCTGCCCTACAAATGGCAGAGGTTATGGTACCAATTATGCAATATTCCCCATTACTGTGCCACTCGCTTTTGAATTCTTCTTGCCTCATCATTTCAACTCGTGCTACTTCCTCTGCTTCAGTTAAGAATTCACAGCTTCAGTTAAGAATTCACAGGTTAGAAAGTCCAGAACGGAATTTTCCTTTCAAGGGATGTGCTGAATAGTGAAGTCATAGAATGAGAACAGTGATGTGGATCTGGAACTTTTGAATGCCTTTTAGGCCTATGAGCACCGCTCTCATTATAAGGGCGTACTTTGTCTATGCCTCATTCCAGGTCCCTGAAGCATACTGGACAATCTCCTCCCCCTTTTCTCCCCTTTGCTGTAGCATACCACCCCATCCAACATTTCATGCAACAGTATCAATTATCTAGGCCTTCTTACCATCAGGCAGTGCTAAAACTGTCAGCTTTGTACCCCTTCTATAATTTGGACGACCGCCTTAGTACTCTCTTTTCCCCACCTTTTGGTCAACCTCTTTCTTAGGACAATTTGTAAGGATCTTTCAATGGTAAGCTGACAGGTAGTTCAGGCAGCCTAGGAACCTTTGTAGTTTGTTTCTTCCAAAGATTTGGTCTGGAAATATGGAGGCGATTTGTACTGAGTGGTCCTGTACCTGTATCTTCCTGTCTTTTATCTGTACCCTCAAGAATGGATTTCTTCCAGAAATAGCTTCATTTTTTCATCTGAGAGGGTCATTCCATAGCGTTCTATGGCCTTTCTAAAAGCTTTGAGGTGTTTGAAGTGGCTCTCAAGATCCTTGCTGAAGATGAGGATGTCATCTATGTAGGCTATGACGAAGTGATCAAATGGTTGAACAATTTAATCCATTATTTTCTGGAATTTTAAGGGTGCATTCTTTAAGCCAAATGGCATGACACACCATTTGTACTGCCCCATTGAATGGCGAAGGCAGTCTTGTATTAATCTTCCTCTGTGATCTTAATCTGCCAGAACCCTAACTTACAATCAAATTTGTTGAAGATGCTTGCGCCCGAAATTCGATTGGTTACCATTTGGCAGTTAGAGACTGGATAGTGGACCCATTCAAGCCCCCCATTTAACAGAATGTAGATAATAACAAGCCTCGGAACTCCCCTCTCTTGCTTGTTCCAGTTATTTACATTGAAAGCTGCACAAGACGAGGGGCTCTTACTGGATGTATCAGCCCCTTTTCCAAAAGCTATTAGATCTCCTTCTTATTGTGTTGTCAAACATCCTCCGGTATTTGTACAGCCCTGGCCCGAGTTGGGATTTTTTGAGACCCCACTCTCCAAAAGTCGTTCTTTCTGACATCCCATATGGGATATGTACTTCTCTGGCAACATCTTTTGTAAAACAAGATAGTTACCTTCGATATAGTTGATTTTGTCATTGAAAATTGGAAATATCAGCCTAATCATGCTAAAGTCCGTAGGTAATATTCTAAACCCACCACTTCATATAAAAATGTCTCAATCAAATGAGCTCGCAAGTGGTATGAGATATTCCCTTGTACTCCAATTCTCCACAAGATCCTGCCACCATTGACTCTTCATGTCACCAGGTGAACCAGCCAGTCACAGTACAAAGATGTACATAGAAACTTCAGGTACACAGGATTCTGTAACCTATGTGAAGTGCATAAGCTAACCTAGGATTCTCATGGCATATATGCCACATCTGTTCTGGAAATATTTGAGATGATCGTATTTCTTCTGATGTGTTGCTTTTTAGTGACACTTAACTGAACATATAATCTATGCCTAGAATTTTCACGAGGTTCATTTACTCACCTAAAGCTAATTGTACACATTGATGATAAAATAGCCTTATTCAGAAAGCGCACCAAATTATTACATTTATAATAACCCTTCAAAATTATTTTTTCTTCAGATAATATTCTTTCTTCACATAATCCGAAAGCAATGGAAGCCATCCACAAAAAGCATTAATAATGGCATCTACAAGATCATGAATTTGGTTGAGATTTTATGGCTTAGAAATTGAAAACTGAAGCAGTTTGTTTGCAAAAACAAGAAGCCGCTTACCATGTGGCTACAGAACTTTTGAGTCTTAGGATTGATGCCCATAACTGACGTTCCAGTGAAGATCAACTCTGGCTTCCAAGGTAGAAGAGCAAACTTCATAACCATTGTCCATCTCGTCGTTATCTCGTAAGGCGCTGTCTAATGCTGATGTATTCTTTTAGTCATTCAACTAATGTAACCAAAACTATGATCGATAAAAGTGCATGATGCTATTATCTCTCTGGTAATTTCAGAACAGAATAAGAAGATTAGCTATTTGCACAAGGCGAATCTCATTCCCACCACAAAAGGAAACCAATAAAACACCATAGCTACTCTGCTTCCAGTCGATGCTTGATTTCTGCTATTACCTCCTGATTTAACTTCATTGTATTATTGCAATCACTGTTAGTTAGAGCCACTTCAAGCTGGTATAGGAACAAACTTCCTGTTCCAGCACTCTTTTAGAAAGGGTATCGTATGGGACGAAATGAAGTTGTACGATAGTTCAGTTTGTTTCATATTTTGCAAGATAATGACAGTTATCAGTGTGTATTCAAGAGCAGTTTCAGTTCTGGAGTCTATTTTTGCTGATGTAACTTTGTCCTGTTAGACTATTTTGGACACCTTAATTACAAAAAAGTAGCATCACAGCCAGCTTGATTTTATAGAAATGAAAAAAATACATGGAGAACAATAGTGAGAAGAAATGAAAAGAAAATATGAAAGTAGAAAGAAAATCAAGTGAAATAGCCCAACAACTACATGATAGAATCACTAATAATCTTCAAAGCTTTTATGAAAATGGATTTAACATTTCTCAATTGTCAATACCTACATTCCAAGGTGAAATTGACAACGAACGGAGGAAATCATACTATTCTACAGTAATAGTTATTCATGAAACTAAGATATCTTTAACAAATACATTTGTTCGCTAACATTCCTATTTTTATATAACTCAACGCCAAGTCTAATTCAAATGGAGTGAGAATTTCAACGGTTGACTCCTATCATCAGAAGGTGAATTGAGAAAGGCATCAGCAAAGGAGGAAATCATAACATCCTGAAATCTAACGGGCATTCACGAAATTGAGAAACCCATCACATTAATGCTCAGCAAATATCTGAATTGTTTAAAGCAGTGCCCTTAAAATGCACTCCGCCACAGAACTAGGGCCCTGGCCTGGCCGATTTACTTGGGCGAGCCCTAGTCAACTCGCCCATGTCCATAATGAGAGCCAACAAAGCCAAGAAAACTGGGTAAAAATAGGAGAAAAACTGATAAACAACAGAAAAACAAATTTATATATAAAGGATGATAAAAAAAATTCAACAAATATCAAAGATAAATTTTCAAAAAAAAAAGAGAAAATAAGGATTTGGATAATGTTGATAAAATCTTTTAAGAAACCAAAATGCCTAAAAACAAGGTTTTATAAAATAGAGAGAGGATGTGAGAAGGAATCCCCTATGTTGACTAGTTGACATGAAATATTCTCTTTTTTATTTATTTTCAAAGACTGAAAGAGAGAGAGAGGTACCTAACCTGTTTAACTGAGTGGAGCTGAAAAGTGGGGCTAAAGAGGAGCTTCAAGAGCCTTATGTTGAAGAGGTAGCCATTAATGGTGTCATGCCTGGTAATTGGGTCCCTAAAAGTCACTCTCTCATCATACATGGAGCTATCAATTCCCTGATCATTGAAGAGATGCGGCAGGTCTGAACGCAAAAACTCGATCATTTCCTCCATGTCTACCTCAACAGAAGAAGAAGAAGGAGGAGAGCGAGATATCGACTTGGCCTTAAAAATCAAACGTTTTCTGTTCAAGCTCTTGAAGGCCGTTGCAGATATGAGAGGAACGGCAAGGGTTGGACTTGGGAAAACTTTTTGTGCAGAGGAGAGAGAGAATTTTGGAGAGAGAATGGCCATCGTCAATCGATTGACACCAGAATTTGCCATGAAGTCGGCCTAGCAATTGAAAGCGGCCGCGCCCCTCTCTCTCTCTCTCGATAACAGAGGATGAGAGGTGGGCATTGCGCTCTCTCTCTCTCCTCGATAACAGAGGATGAAAGGTCGGGCATTGCGCGCTCTCCCTCTCTCTCTCTCTGTCTCTCTCTCTCTCGAAAAGAACAGAGAACGGGCAGAGGTGGGCCCTCCTCCCTCTCTTTCTTTCTTGTACACCGGCATGTACAACTGTATTTCTATGGTCATTGCGTTTCCACAAAGCCAAAAGACTTTTCTACTCCAGCAGGTGACCACTATCCATCTACACCCTCGGGCAGGAATTAAGCTAAACATATCTTTTAGATCCCAAATTTTGGGTCTGATCACTGTAATCCTACAACCAACTTCAAAGGAAAAATAAAAATAAAAATAACTCTCACTTTTTATGTGCCTCAAAAAAAAATTGGCATCTTGATATGATTACTATAACCATATAACCCACGTATAAGAAAAGGGTGGTTTGTATAGAGCCTAGGCTCTAAACAATCAAATTGGAGCTTACCTTCAAATAGTGTATAAACATGTGGTTTTACTTCGGAAAATCTTTGTAATAGCCTAAAAATATATTTTCATAATTATTTGTAAAGTTTAAAGCTTCAACAATAGTATAGATCAACTGATCTATAAAAACTTGAAAATCTTAAAAATTGACAGTCCAAAAATGTATTACAAAATATACTATTCCAAAACTTGAAGTCTATTTTTTCTCATGTCCATGCATCTTGATGTCGAGATGATCAATTTGGAGATATTTGAGCATCAAAACAATCTCTTCTAATAAAATTTTTGAGATAAACTCAAATTTGATTGTTTAGAGCCTCCGCTCTATATAAACCGAATAACTTACTTTCTTGGTGCTTAAAAAAATTGCCACCCCAAGATTGAACTAAAACCATCGTAGAGAGTAACCCATATGCTTAAGAATGGAAAATCTACTTTTTTTTTCCTTGGAAATAATTATTTGTCCCCAAAATTCAAATTAGAAACAAAGAAAATTTAAGAAGAAAAAAAAAAAAAGTATCCCACCCATATCATACGGACGATTGGAGGGTGCGCCAGTTGAGATCTAGTATGACCATAATCGATGGCCGATAATCAGTCTCATATTCTATTGTTTACTTTTGAATTTCCGGTGTAGGTGTATTTTTATAAATATAGTTAAACAAATGAAGATAAAACTAATTCGAATATGTATGGAGGGGTTGGTGGCAATATGTATCAAGGAGAATCAGTTGTTGAAGAAATTGTTTCTAAGTTACCTAGGAGTGCCAGTATTGCAGGTCATGGTCGTAAAGACTCATTTCTCTCAAAGCCTAAGTCACAACAGATGACCCTAAAAGGCATGGTTAAAGGTACAAGAAACATGTTAGGGAGATATGTTGGTAAATGGTTCTACGATAAAGGGATTCCCTTTGATGCAGCCAATAGCCCATATTTTCCACCTATGATTAGTGCAATCCAGAGAGTCGGGCCCGAGGTAAAACCCCCAACGGCATATGAGCTCAGTGGGCCAATATTAGATGAAGAGGTAGAGGAAGTTAAAAAGTGGATTGAAGAATATAAACAGAGTTGGCCAAGGACAGGAATTACTCTCATGAGTGATGGTTGGTTGAATAAAGTTAGCAAAAAAGAGTTTTTAAACTTATTGGCCTATTCCCCAAAAGGTACAGCTTTTTTGTCTAGCAAAGACGTATCAGGAACGAAGAAGGATGCAAACTTCTACGTACGACTATATGATCAGATAGTGGAGGAGGTGGGAGATAAGCATGTAGTGCAGTTTATTACGCACAATGCGCGTGCATGTGTTTCTGCGGGCAGCAAGTTGATGGATAAGAGAAAGCATCTAGTATGGACCCCGTGTGCTGCACACAGCATCGATCTTATGTTAGAGGAAATTGGTGAGATCAAAATTGTGAAGGAGACTCTAGATGAAGCAAGGTTGGTGTCGAGATTTATATACAACCACTCTAAAATATTATTTTTGTTTAGAGAACACTCTAAGAAAAAAGAGATAATCAGGCATGCCATAACCCGCTTTGCGACCGATTACTTAGCTGACAATCTGAAGGTGCATTAAAGAGATTGTTTACTTGTGAAGAGTGGTTAAATGACCGCCTCTCGCAATCCAGTACCGGTATAAAAGTGGATAACATAATCTCAAATAGGTTGTTCTGGTCTCGATGTTCCAGTGTTGTAGAGGCCACTGCCCCTTTGGTCACGGTGTTAAGAATGGTGGATGCTGATAAGAAAGCTATCATGGGTATCCTTTAT